TGGCTTTCTGTGTTACTGAAGTCATATTATCTTTACTTAGTCATGACAACATCGCTGATAACGTTTTCATGGTTTGCCTTTTTAAGCCTAGCTAACATCTGGTACATCTATCAAAATCTTACATTTTCTTTCTTCCAAGACCGTCCTCCTTTTCAGTATCAGCTCCAAGCTCTCCCTGCACGGTCATAGCCTCTTCCTCACTACCGCCGTCGTTATCTCATTAGCTTCAAATTAATCCCTGTATACCAAACACTGATATCCTTGTCATCTGCCCTTTATCCTCTATCGTTATCTATTTGGCCTAATCCCAGTGGTGCTTGGAAGGATTCGCGCTTCGCTAAGGTGACATTAGCGGGCAAGCAAACGATCAAATCATCTTTGCTGAATGGTATCAACTACTCCTCTAATGTAGGATAACGAATCGATGATCTTCCAAAAGTCAGGTCGGCTCCATCGAAGGATCGTTGCCTGAAGTATCCCCATTTACAGGAGACCCCACTCCGTTTTTCTTTGGGTACGTCACTTTGAAGATGCGCATATGAGAACTACCCGTTGTTCCTCCGATTGAGCGTATTACCTCATCGCACACCTCGAAGGAGCAGCTAGGGATAAAATATGTGAATTCTTGCGAACAGCGGCAAAGCTACGATGCCGTAGTAGCCCATATCAAAAAACATCCCATCGTCGCAGCATGGCTCGCTGATTTCTTTACATCTGTAAAAAAAGCACTCGGCAACCAGTCTCATCGTTTGCAGATCGCGTCTTTCAGTATGCTCGTGCAGCCACCCCGAGCAGGACTCCATGCCGAGAGGCAATTCATACTCGGCCACGTCGCTCAACTCCGAAAGATCTCAGTCTGGAACAGACAGTTTTACTCGACATTGATCAATGCCGTCTCCAACTTCTGAAACTTGAGCGGTACCTCTGAGTGTTGTCTCTATAGATATCGCGCATTCTGAGCTGCAATGCGATAAGTCAACGATATCTGACCCACCCATCTCAGGCCGTGTTTGGACGCTACAGTCAATGAGGACAACATCTTTAGGGCTCTTGACGTTGGTTCTCGTTGTAGATCGGCGGCGGTTCCGTGCTCGTCACCAATCTACCTCAGTCTACCGCGCCCCGTCGCCCACTACACCTTCGCTGCAGTCTGCAAACTCGGTACCAATCTCTATGAATTATACAAATACTGCTTTCGACGCTGTCTATAATAAATATTTTCTGTATCTGTGTGTGCAGACGCAGAACCCCCTTACTGCGTTAACATTTACTATAGTAAGCCTATCAATAGTGAATCATGATGAACCAGCTTTATTCATGCAGACTGCACTCCAATTATACCTCAACATACAGCCAAAATGCAAAGTCCACCAAGGTCAATCCAAAGACATCTTACAAGGAAATGATGGAAGAGTGAAAAGTCAAGAAGAACACAATGAAGAAACTGGTAAAGCGGCATATGCGGAAGTGATTGTAGTTTACGAAAATATGCTACATTAATATAAACATTTTCACAGAATCGATGTAGAAGGAAATGTATCTCTTTTATTTTCAGCGAGAAGGGCGCAGAAAAAAGGCATGCACACACTCAATTGTACTAGAAGCG